TATGATAAAGTTAACAATTGAGCAAATGGAGCTAGAATATGATATTATTCGGTGGTGAAATCATCGGCACTTCTGGGTTGCTAGTGCGGCAGTGGCAACAGTGGCCTTCTCTTTCGGCATGTTGTTGATTACATGAAAGGATAAGTATTAATTCTGAGATGTGTGGTAGACAATGATTAAAAATTGAATAAGAGGTCATACGGGCCTTCTGTGGAATCCTCCTTGTTGAATTTGGGCTTGATGGATGAGATTGGTTCGGATGAAGGAATTCGTATAGATCGCGTAATTTGCGAACATTTTTTGATTATGTTCTACATAATGATTAGGTACTTCGGATATCGATGTCATGGAGTATGACACGTTTACAATATCGGTCGAGTTTATGGTTCCACGACCGTATAGAGTCGGACCGAAAATAGTTTTCGCGACATGTAAGCCTGATGGGGTTTGGGTGTGGATAGTGTCTGAAAGAACTAGATCGTAGTAGTGGTCAAGGCCACCAGGATTTGTGGGACTTGACGCTCACCTCGAATTTTAGAATTCGCGATAAAAATTTCTCGACCTTGCAGAAATTCTGCGTCTAATTCTGTAATTCTTACTGATGGGAATGCGCCGGTTATTATAGGCTTTGTCTTGATTGGCATTTCGATTTCACGACCATGTGCGCTGCATATTTTGAGGAGAACTTGGTGGCTTTCAAATTTTTCCGTGTGTCCCCCTATTCCTGACATGACGCAGGTTTCTGTTGTAAGCTTTGGTAGGCCTAATCGTTCGGCGAGTGCTTCCTCGATTACGGTCTTTTGCGCGCCAGTATCGAAGAAGAATAAAACTTTCTCATAAGCGTTCGTCCTCTGATTCCAGACGTTTCCTTCAGCTGTCATTAGTACGAGCTGTTCATATTGTTTACTATTAGCGATGGCAGCATTACCATTTTCGATGTTCTGATTAGAACTGAGGGGTTGTTCTATACTTTGGTAGTTGATCTAACATCGTTTCCAGTGCTAACATTGTTCCTGTTCCCTACAGGCGTAGGTTCTGGAAAAGACTGGTTGGTTGGGTGGTTTGAAATGTTCCCATTCCTTGACCAACGATTTGACGGGAGTGGTGGGTCCCTAGGTGGGACGTATATCCTTTCAGGCCTTGCACACACCGATGAATGATGTGTGCCCCCGCAATTATTGCAGTTTGGTTTGCTGCAATTACTGCTGGAATGATTACTTTTGAAACACTTCCAGCAGCTTCTCTTTTCTTTCAAAATGTCCCGACGCCTTTGGCGGTCTGTCACCGTTTCACAGGAAGAGGACGTGTGGCCGGATCTGTTACAGAACGCGCACCCTGTATAGTGAGGGGCACGTTCCATATCAATACTGTTATCCCAGGGGTGGGTAGCTGGTACCAAGACGTGTCTGCACATAGGCTTTGGCACTTATTTCCTTGTCCAAGGCCTCCAAAAGGTCTTCGATTGCCATGGTGTCAGTTTCCTGATGCTTTACGAGAATGTCTTTCACAATATCGTACGGAAACTTCTTCAGAATGGCTTCAGACCACATAGGGTCACAAGTCTTTCTTATATCGTACCCCGCAGAGACCATTTGATAAATGAGGGTTTTGACCGCATCAAAGCACTCTTGGCAGCTGTTTGCCTCTTCAGATGCAGCTTCGAGGTCGCACAGTTTCTGTACGATTTTTGACTTATTCACTGGCTTGTTGCCATATCTTTTGATAAGGGTGTCCACCATCCAGGTATAATTCTCTTGGCACGGATTGTATGCCCCTTATTACATTTAATGCTGATCCCTGTAAACTGTCTTTCAGCAAAATAATCTTTTCTATCTCACTTATTTCATTGCTGTTATGAACCAGGGTTTCGAAAATTGCCCAAAATTCGGGAAATTCCTCCTGGTTTCCATAGAATTTAGGTAGTACTATGGTCGGTGCCTTGACAGCTCGGCAACCTTTTGTAGGAACGCTACCACCCTCACACTGGTCATATTGGGTAGGCTGGTAGGTGTTTCTGCCCTCAGACGAGACTCTGAGTTTCCGCTGCACTTTTTGCAGCTCTACTTTTGTGTCCGAGAAGATGGGTTTCTATGCTGCAAATGAAGCTCTCGGCTTCCTCAAGCAATTTTTGGTAGTGGGTTTCTTTTTCTAGCTCTTCCACCTCCGCAATAAACTCCTTTTGCTCAGTCTTCGACTTGATCGATGAGCAAAAGTCCCCCAAAAGATCAATTTTGCTCTGGAGCAGTTCTCTTGCGGGCTTTATCTGTGCTAAACAGGTGCTAAATTGCTCTACATTTGCTGTAAGTTCTTCAAATAGTTGGTTATCGTCACCTGGGTAGGCAATTTTCTGTGTATACCCCCCATATTTCTTTAATTTTTCTGCTACAGACTTAGCGCTGCTTATTACGGCGTTTCTCAAAAAGTAGGCGGACATTATGAAGTATAGTAGATTATTTCTTGACTATAGGGAAACAAATCTGATGAAAATGAGAAATAAGTGCTATTGGTATAAAAGGGTACCTGGTCCGGAGTCGTTCCTCGGTTCGATGCACCAGAAATGTGTAGGTTTATGTAGCTTTATTGACGAGACGGGGTGGCCTCGTTGGAGTTGCAATATAATACAGTATAGACGAGACGGGGTGGCCTCGTGTTAGGTGATGGTTTCCAAGACGGGGTGGTCTCGGTGGAGGTAGTGGTAGAATGCTCACTTAATCTAGGCGTGCCTCTCAATACAGGAGAGGTCACGCATCGAGTATCTAACAGAGGGACGTTTAGCCGGCGAAGCCGGCCGATCCGACTGGCCCTCCCTCTCATGGAAAACTTCTCACCGGGACCCACTTCACACGCCGGAAGGAGGGCCGGCCGATCCGACTGGCCCTCCCTCTCATGGAAAACTTCTCACCGGGACCCACTTCACACGCGGAAGGAGGATCGGCCGACGAAGCCGGCCGATCCGACTGGTATACATACCGACAGACCGTCACACAAAGTTAGCGCTTCATAGAATAGAAGGATGATATGGTTCACTTTTCAAAGCAATTTGCGCTTTACAGTCAAGTTCTGTACTCATTGGTTAAAAGCAGTGAGCAGGTTGCTAGAGGCGCGCGGTTGCTGCCAGCGTCCATTGGTGGAAGCGCTGCGAGAAGACTTTTCGCTGTACGCTTCTCAGCCCAAGATGTTTTGCTGTACGCTTCTCAGCCCTTCCAACAATGACGATGGGAACAATCTTCCGTCCGCAGAAATCGTTCATACTGTCTTTAATATAGTTTTCTTGGCAGTGTTGTTGTGTGCTAGTAGTGGTAGTAATAATGAGATGTTTCTTTTCAGAAGAGAATTATAAGTACTGGTCATAGGATTTAAATACACACTATTTGACCTGAGAGGTAGAACATTAACGTCTGCCACGGTCCGCAGTACAAAAGAAAACAAGTAGAAGATTCCTTCTTTTTTTGAAAATTTATAGAGACCGCGAGTACAGGACGCGCGAGTACAGAACAATTCAAGGACCATAATTTGGGTAGTACGGGACCGAGCAAAAATCAAAAACGGATGCCGAGTAGAATATTTCATTCCGCAAACCTACGGAATGCCTACAGGACATATTTTCTATGTGTAATTAATGTCAATTGACGGGCAGATGGCAGAGGGATTGATAGGCTCAGCTATAGCGTGCGCCGCGCACATGGCCTCCTTACATTCCCCAGATGAAGTCATGCTAATCTATGAAACACTTTTGAGGTTGTGCTCCCTGTAGTTACCCTTGTCACAGTTCTGCTGACTTCTGATTTCTAAAAATACGGTAGCTATCTGTGGTGGAAAGATGGTAATCCCCAATAAAACTGCACAAACATGAAGATCCGCTGTGTACCATGAAATATCATACCTATCGTCTGTTAACAGTGTTCAATAGGTAAATTTTTTTCATCGAAACTCAATCAAATAGAAATAGCAAACGCGAATACCTAATTCTGACTCTAAGCAACAAAAAGAAACAGTATACATATATTGAGGACCACCCTGGAAAGCACCACTCGAGACTAATTCGTCTTGAAGACGTTTTTGCAGTGTTTGAGATACGAGATTCCAAGAGTCCATGAAGCGATCCATACATCGCTGCAAACACTGCTTGTCAGAGCTCGAAAGCGAGCTTCCGGGAGCCGAAATACACTTCTGAGTGCACTTCTCTGACAAATCCTGAAAGTGATTTTGCTGACACTGGCAGACAGGCAAAGTTTATACTAAGAGTTCCTTCATAGAAATGCTTACCAGGAAAGGTCAACAGGTCAGCCTGGCCATTTGCAATGAGATGCACATCACTGTATCACCTTGACACGGTGAACTCAGAACTGTCTTCAAAATTTGCAGAACGATTCTCTGAGCGGAGTTATGGAGGTTTCTTTACTGTTTTTCTTCTTACGGGCGCGCTGGCGCCGAAGCATTGACAAGAAGCTAAATTCAGTATTACCGCCACGGTACCGTAACCCAAAGCGGCGCCCAGTTGATTGTAACTCCGCAGTGGACGTACGTATAACACCGAACTTTACGCCGGTACCACTACGGGAACCGTGCGGAAATGCTTGATATACTGCACTGTTCAAGGGCGGACGGGAATTTTGTGCATATTTCACTTATGAATTGTTTCGTCTCGACATGGAGGCTCTGAATGTTTGGCATAGCGCAAGGGAATTCGTAACGCTCACAACGCTTCTTTCTTGCTATTTGCATTTGGAGAACAAATACATGAATATAAAGAGCAGAATTACTTAACTTACTACAGACCAGAAAATTCTTTTACAATTGCTTTCCCAACTTATTCCATGAAATTTCACTGCACGCGTAGTGATTGCAAAAGCGAAAGACGCCGCTATCACAACTAGGCGTAAAAAGGGCTGATCTGGGTACCATTCGACAGCTTGGACTCAGTTCTGGTGCAACTACAGTTCGGACTCAGTTCGCTACAGAGTGGTTGTTAGATTGGAGAGGTAATCCTGGGTTTTGAGTATAACACGACTTGGTTATTAGTGCTGACAAGAAACTCAGAGTCAGGATTGCGACTGGCAGTTCAAAATACTCTTGTAGACAACGTTTGTGATGGCAAGTTTTTATTAGCATGTTTTTCAATCATATCTTGGCGGTGTTACAAAGGAACTGTGCCAGTTCCCTCTTAACATTGGCCCTCTAGTTTCACAGAAATGTTTCTTCTCTTCCGTGGATAATTTCACAATTTGAAACTAGGTTTTGAGAGAAAAAATTCCCAGGTTGAAAAGTCGTAGTTGTGAACGCGATCCAACTGCATGCAAGTACCACCTATTCCACCTTTCGAGGCGATGAGGCTAATAAGTCGACCGTAGTCCTACCCCAATTTATTGTTTACTACATCGAACTTAGACAAGGCGTCTCTATCCCACATTTCTAAGCATCAAGCGTGCAGCACCGCCAAAGTGCTTGAAGCAAGGGTAATAGAAAGATAGATCAGGCCTATCCTCACATCGAAGTCCTCACAACGACATCCGAAACACACATCCGTTTTCTTCCACCCAGAAAAGGAAATATCGGCGTAGTTTCAGCGTCCGTGCTGATGTTTTTAACGCGCCTACGACAGACTTCCAATTTAAAGGGCGCCGCTTTGGGTTACGGTACCGTGGCGGTAATACTGAAGTTAGCTTCTTGTGAAGCATTGGCACATGCAGCGCGACTCACAGCGCTCTTCGCGCAAAACAGGTATAATATTCGTGTTCAGGAGATCGAATAATCCTTAGAGACGTCACCTTAGCAAAATCAATTATAAAAGACGCGGTGCTTCGTAGAAAAAAGGTTTCGGATATGACTAGGAAAACTTAATAGTGCTGATCGCTGGTGTCTCAGTCGAACAAAAGATCCAAATATTCTGTAGACTATTGAACAAAATCTGCGGTATAGTTCAGATGCGGAAATGTATTGATCGAATTCCTTCAACCAATCTATTTCATCGAACCTTTGGTTCAGCAAGGCATAGTTACCTGCAGAAAATCAGCCACTGGGATGAAGAAGTTACGGGACAAGTGAGATCCACAAGGAAGTGTATAGTTGAGTGATCGGATGTAGATAAGGGGGGACGGACAGTAATACTGTGCACAAGAGGGGAGGTTGTAAGGATGATGTCAAGTGTATTATCCTCATGAGTAGGTTGCTCTGCGTGAGTCCGGAGTTCGAAAAGCAAGTCGAGGAACTTACTGGAGCTTAAATTTAGAGCAACAAGTCTATTCCAATCGATAAT